TAAGGAGAATCACCGTGTGCCCTTCGGGGGATATTACTCCACCTTTGTAGAAACCTATATGGCAAAGGGGTGCAACCGACCCTTCCCAGCTTTGATAGGGCATCAGTGGGTCTGCGGGACAAAAGCCTATACCGCGTTACCAGTTAACTGGTCAGGTATCTGTTATCCCGCCCAACTTTTCCCACAATTCCGAGTGTTAGAGTCCTTCCCACGAGAACGCCTCCGTAATTTTAGGTGAAAAAGGAGGGACCTGTGCTCTCATCGGCAAAGAATGTTGTGTATATATACACACCTGACAACACCAATGATGTAATAGATGGCGCTAGCCACTTGGAACAGATTGCATACCTTTCCAATGAAGAGCCAAGTTCCCTGTGGAAATGGCTAAGTAACTTGTCCAATTTCTCTGGCATAGGAAACTGGTTGTTTCAGGGAGCCCTGACTATCCTATTTGGGATCTTAATGATTTTTGTATGTTTTCAGTTAATCTCCTGTTGTATCCAAAACTGTGCAAGACATGTCACAGACATGTCCCCTCACCAGAGTGCTATTCTGATGATTTTAAATATCACTGATGAACAGAGAGACAAAGAACGGTTAATGTATGGAACCCAGTAATTGTTGGTCATAGGCGTGGCTTGACCAAAAGGAGGGATTGTGAAAGTAGAAAGAATTATACTATAAGAGAAAGATGAATTATGCTGCAATAATTGAATAAGTTGAAGGAATACTGTTTGTCTCTGAACAGGAAGAAGAAAAGTATGTTAATGTTGTTTGTAGGAATGCAGATTACAAAGTGCTAGCCAGAGTTAATAGGAAAAGGAACATTAGGTGTTAGGGAGAAAACAATTGAGCTAACCAAGCAATTGGACAGGAGATTGCTGTGTGCTTGATGTGGAAATGAAGAATACTTGAGTAGCCTCACACTAATTATGTGAAGTTTTGCCCCCCTTTTAATCCTGTTAATTTTGGCTTTCTTTTGACTGTATAAATCAAGGGGTTTGAACCTTGTATGGCACTCACATTTTCTCCATGCATTTTAGCAGAGCTTTGCTGAATAAACAGAGCAGTCTGACAAATTTGTGAGTCCTGTCTGACTTTGACAGGGCTAAGACCCCTACAATTATAACACCATGAGATTTCAGATTTAAATAGCTGAAATCATGAAGGTTATGATTTTTTAAATCTTATGACTGTGAAATTAACCAAAATGGCCTGTGAATTAGGTAAGGCCCTCTTCATGGCATAAGAAGGAAGGTTTCCTCATGGATCAGTAACTGCTTAAGATAGGAAACAAATGGTAGGAATAAATGGACAGTTTTCAGCACAACGATAGGTAAATAGTGGTGTCCCCCAGGCAACTGTACTAGAATCAGTACTGCTTAATGTATTCAGAATTATCTAAAAAAAAGAAGTAAACAATGAGGTGGCAAAATTTCCAAATGATACAAAATTGCTTGAGATAATTAAGTCCAAAGCAGACTGCAAACATCTACAATGGGATCTCACAAAGTTGAGTGAGTGGGCAACAAAATGACAGATGGAAATCAATGTTAATAAATGCAAAGTAATACACCCTGGAAAACATAATCCCAACTATACATATGAGATGAGGCTCTAAACTAGCTGTTACCACTCAAGAGAGAGATCTTAGAGCCATTGTGGATAGTTCTCTGAAAACTTCCACTTAATGTGCAGCAGTAGCCAAAAAAGGAAACAGAATGCTGAGAATAATTTGGAAAGGGACATAGAATAAGAATGAAAATATCACATTGCCTCTATATAAATCCATGGTACGCCCACATCTTGGATCCTGCATGCAGATCTGCTCACCTCGTCTCAAAAAAAGATATATTGGCATTGGGAAAAGCACAGACAATGTTTAAAAAACCATTAGCGGCGTGGAACAGCTTCCATATGAAGAGAGGATAAGACTGGGACTTTTCAGCTTCAAAAAGAGATGATTAACGAGGGATATGGGAGAGGTCTATAAAATCATGACTAGTGTAAAGAAAGTAAATAAGGAAGTGTTATTTATAGCTTCTTATAACACAATAACTAGAGGTCACCAAATGAAATTAATAGACATAGGTTTAAAAGAAACCAAAGAAAATATTTTTTCATGCATGTCAACATGTGGACTTCTTTGCCAGATGATGATGTGAGAGCCAAGACTGTAACAAGGATAAAAAAAGAATTAGAAGTTCATGGAGGATGGGTCAATCAGTGGCTATTAGCCAGGATGGGCAGGAATGGAATCCCTAGCCAGAGTGGGGTGTGGGCAACAGCAAATGGATCACTTGGAAATTGCCTGCTCTCTTCGTTACCTCTGGGGAACCTGGCATTGACCGTTTGTGGCACTCAGGATACTGGGCTAGATGGAGCCGTTCGTGGCACACAGGATACTGGGCTAGATGGATATTTGATCTGACCCCATGTGGCCATTTGTAAGTTCTTATGAAATCATGTTTTTGTGCTGACTGACATGGTGTTGGCCCTGTTAGCAGTGTGCTTTACATATGGAAGATGTTGCCTTAAAGACTCCTTGTTATTAAGTGATGTGTTCATAAGTTGCTGTGTAGATCAAACAGATGTTTTGACAGCACAATTCGCTAAAAGACAACAGACATCCAAAATGTACTGCCCAGGAGCAGTTAGCAAAGTACAAAAATCCCTATGCAGAGACAAGGTCATAGTGACCAATGCGTAATCAGTGATAATAAACCAATTAGAAAAAAGAGTTACAGGGAAATAGCTTGGACAGCAAAAGACCTTTTAATTAAAAAGTTCATGCTCCTATATTGCATGAATTATATTAACATTCTCGTAACACTCAAAGAGTATTAGAAAAGCAGTAGTAAATGTGTAATTTAGATGTGTATTATATCAGACAGTATAAAGGAGAGTCAGAAGTTTTTAAGAGAAACCCACCATAACCTGCCTGTGTCCGTGGAGAAGGTAAGTGGCTAACACTTTCTGTATGTCTGTCATTTCTTACATTAATAGTAATTCTAATGGCCAGACATGTTTTTGGTGCAAAAAAAGGTTTGAATTAATGAACCTGAGTATCTTAGACCTTTAGTGCATGGCATTGTCACCCAACAATTAAATCTATTTATGTCACCCAACATTAAATCTATGAATAATCTTTTTATGAACCAATTAACCAGTCATTCTCCTCCCACCAGTCTCAGAGGCTCATTCAAATTTTCCATCCTAGATCCATACTGGGTACCTTGGAACTCCTTCAGAGCCTCCATAAGAGCAACAGTTTTCTGGGAGAAATCCCCAAGTCTCTTTTCCAGCACAGGAAAAATTTCCTCTGGCTGCTGGGATGTCCCCTTCTCACACCTGGACAGAAACAATGTCACATAAATATATTTCATTTAGTGACTCGTTAGAAAGTCTTTCTAGTGAGTTGCTATGGGCCTGGAGTCAGAATCCCTCTGCTTTTCCCAGCCTCAGATCAGGGGCAGCAAAGGACATGGCAGGAAAATGTTCCCCTCAGAGGTCCCATTACTGTTCTTCACCTCTGGCCTGGAGAGTCCACCTCTGGGGATGAAAGGTGAAATGAGTCTCTATGGCCAAATCACTCCGTGGCTCCCAGGCGCTGAGGGACAGGAAGTTCCCAGGTGAAACGCTTTAGGAATCTGCCCATTAGGAACTAGACTGAGACACCAACTGTCCCCTCCCCTGCTCATTCCACACTGGTCTCCAAACAGCCTTCAGGTGGAACAGACTCTTGGTCCCAGCTGTCCTGGGCTGAATGGTGCCCAGCAGTGACAGGCCCATGATCCATCTCCACCGTCCTGAGACATCCCCAGACAGATGACATCTGTAGAATATAATATAGGACAGTCTTTCCCTTTCAATAGCTAATTCCAGAGTCTTCTCTGAAAGGGTGAGAGCCTCAGGATTAAATGGAACGGGGAGATCTGAATCCAAAATGTCACCTTCCCTGCACATTTTGCTATAGAGCCCGGTGGAGAGGCAGCACTAACTTCATAGAATTCTTGGCAACGTCATTGCCAAGATCCTTCTCAGTGCTGTGCAGTGTGAGGGGCGTGAGAGCCACATACCTGCTCAAGGTGCTTCTGACATCCTAGACAGAGAGAGAGAGAGAGAGAGAGTTTCAGTCCCACCTGACACTCACTTGCAATTTCAAGGGAGGGATTTTGCACATATTTGCCTGGCCCCAGGCCCATGGATTCCATGAGCTAATTGGGCTTTGCCATCTCTACTATCTCTGAGTCCGCACAAAATAATAACAGTTCCCATGTCAGGAGTGCACACACGGAGTTGCGGTGTGATCTCTGACTCCTTGACTCCTGTGCCCACATTTTAGGAGCTGTCCTGTCTCTGTGGTAGGATTTGGAGAATTTCTAACTCTGTCTCACCTGCAGGAATTCACTTGCTGGCTCTTGATACTTCCCCTCCAGCTCACTGATCAGCTCACTGAGACATGAAATCTGCTCCGAGAATTGGGTAACAGCATCATTCTGTATCTTCACAATCGCCTCGTCCAGTTTCTCCAGCTGGGCCAGAAGGAGTCGCTCTTGTTCCTCCAGGAACTGCCGCAGCTGCTGAAACTCAGTCACAATCTGCTGCCTCTCGGTTTGTGTCTGTTTCTGGTGTTGGAGGGGGAGGGGCGGAAGAAGAAAACCACCACCATCACTAAGAGCAAATGTATGGAGCCTGGCATCCTTTCACAGAGTGCTGAGTGTGCAGGAAGAAGAATCTCTTTGCATCAGATACTGAACAGTATCCTGTGGTAACTAAAGAGAGGAATTTCTCACAACTTTCCTTTTGGCCCAAGAATCTCATAAAGGACGTTTCCATATCTGATATGATTTGGGTAGTGAGTGATTGATGGCCTCTGTGATGCAGATCCAAAGCAACAGGGGGCAAGACTCAGCCCAGGATCTTGGTGTACTTTTCATGAATTACCAACAATATCATCCAGTTGTTTTGCTTCTTTTATTTTTTCTGGATTTTAAAGTTTAACAAATTTTTGAAAATTGCCTTGTTTTGTAAAATTATTTTTAAGGAAATGGTCAAAATTGAAACAAAACATTTTGATTTGTCAAAAAAAATTCATTTGCCTAAGCAAAAAATCAAATTTGTGATTTGCTAACTTAAAATATAGCGTATTTGGTTCAACTCATTTTTGTAAATATTCTGCTAGAGAAGGTCTTTACCTGGCTTTACTCAACCACATTCATAGAAACAGGTGGGAAGAAAAAAACAAAAGCAAATGAAACTATGAGAAAAAAAGCAGCAGACAGTGTTCTGCATTGGATACCTTCAGTTCAGGATTGGAGTTGGCTCCCATATTAGGACTATGTGTACATTGCAGCAGTTTGTCGGAAGAGGAAATGCAAATAGAGTGCTCATTTGCAAATCTCATGCTATTATTTGCATATTCTCTTTGGATCCTTTTTGTGGAAGAGGTTTTTGCGATAAAAAGCTCTGTGTAGATGGGGCCATTTGTCGGAAAAACCTTGTTTTGCACAAGATCTCTTATTCCTCAAAAAATGAGGTTTACAGAGAATATGCAAATGAGAGCATGAGATTTGCAAATGAGAGTGTGAGATTTGCATTTCCTCTTCCAAAAAACTGCTGTAATGTAGAATTAGCCTACAAAAGCAGGATAAGGGACTGGCTGAAGGGAAAATCATTGTCACTGCCACCCATAAAAGGTGGACATTAAATAATTAATTGAGAATTAATTACATTGAGGTTTACAGAGAATATGCAAATGAGAGCATGAGATTTGCAAATGAGAGTGTGAGATTTGCATTTCCTCTTCCAAAAAACTGCTGTAATGTAGAATTAGCCTACAAAAGCAGGATAAGGGACTGGCTGAAGGGAAAATCATTGTCACTGCCACCCATAAAAGGTGGACATTAAATAATTAATTGAGAATTAATTACATTCCCTC